CATCAGTGGCTGTGCATGAGGTCATGCTGCAGCACCTCATGCAACCATGCATAAGCCCATGACAATCTCCCAACCAAAACCATCTGCAGCAGCCTAAGTAACACTGAGAACATTCTTGTATATCCAGTAAGTAATCTGGGGTGACAGAGGGTGTAAAGGCAGGGAGAAGAAGAGCTATGACTATGAATTTATGGAAGCAGTTACAGAAGTTCAATGCGATAGCAACAAGAAACTCTCTCACAAAAACAACTTAAAATGACTTTATTTTTTAAGTATATTAGCACGATATTTACAAAATTGTTTCGTGTTTCATAAATAAAAACATTTTCTTCGGTAAAGACTATAGATATTTAAAATGTCTATATATTTATATATACACACATACATACCCACACAAATGGAAGCATAGTTATGAACAACTTTGGTTTTAAATTACTGGTGGGAAAGGGCTGAGTGTATCAATGACTTCTTAAACTCTCGCTTTTGAATTTGTACCCACAAGAAATCCAGAGCAGAGCCCTTAACACAACAGGATGGTGGGTTTCTCCCATTTCTGGGGCAATCGATTCTGCAGCCTGTACATGGCCACCGAGCTCCTCATGTTTCAGCAACGCCTAGTAACAGCTCGGCCTCATCCCACAGTGACACAAACGGGTTCTACTGCAGTTTGCTTTACAGAAGCAATTAACATAAAGCTACTATACATCATGGTTTTTATAAGGCAGAATACCTCAACAGAATTCCAGTTGGTTTGTTTTTTATTCCTCAACTGCTCAACTTTCAACTTGCTAGGGGAAATCACTAGTTATAAATAGGGAGCTCTGCATGGTACTTAATCAGGTAAATTCTCACACTGAATTGTTAATGGAGAGTAATCTCCCATCTTTAGGTAGAGATTGTGATTATGGAAAAACCTGTATCAAAAGATTCACGTATAGGAGCTCCAATCTTATATAAATACTCCCACTGGCAAAGCTGAAGGTATGAAAGTAAGTGTAAACCATACATGCTTCTTAAATGTTTTATCACATGAATAACCCTCTTCACTGTAGCCAGTTCCGCTGACCATGGGTTGCTCTAAGCAGTTCAGTCCTGCAGCCCTAGCGAGAGGACTGTTTATGAGAGTAAATATTGTAAGATCAGATACCTCAATTTTATTTTATTGAATTCTTGATGCAAGGTGTCTGCATCGAGACTTGGAGCTCAACATGCAGAGACCTGAATCTCTGCAACATGCACCCACAACAAGGATATGAACCCGAGACTTGTGAAATTACTCAGAATCTTTAAAAACATGGATTTATTACATTACTGTTTGGCAACAGCTTTCCAAACAAACTTTTAAATTGTTAGAAGGAGAAAACCATGTATGCCGTTGAAATATATCACCTTAGTACGAACAGGAGACAGTGTGAAGATTTCTACAAAGTATACATAAAGTCCAAGAGAAGCCAACTATATTGGAACACTCTCAAAACAGTTGTAAAATGTGGTAAAATCTCATGGAATGTGCAAGTCCTAGAAAATTGATTTTTACTTGTACCACTTACATATATACAGAAACTGAGCCTCCTCACTTCTCTCATCAGCTCCTCCTACTTATCTTCTATTTTATGTATTTGTGATGTAATGGCAGCATCACAAACTTGGGTCAGAAATTAAATAGCTCCTTTTTCCATTCCAGAAAACAGATTTTAAAACTGTCAAAAATACATTAAATAGGACAACTCCTATTTTTATGAAGCATCAATGAGTTTTACAAATTCACTGAGTTACGAAAGTCTGAAATTGCTTCCAGTACCACACACTGCACAACATGAACACACACAAGAACCACATTCAGCATGAAAATTACTAGCTTCTGTGCTCCATAATTCCAGTGCTGAATTAGGCTCCAACAGTTGAGCAGTTTCTTATCAAAGAATACGGAAGAGGCAAGGAGAGCACTCTCACTGGACTAAAAGATCGGCCACCAGAGCATATATGATTACTGCCCATGGAGAGGAATACTACTGTTTCATGGAATTAGGAGAACTCGGTTAATAAGCTTAAGGAGAGCTGGGAGGAAACTTTGTACTTACGCAACTTTGTGTGTAAGCATTTTATTTACTTCTTTATAAAAGTTTTGCTGAATGTCAGAAAAGAAGTATTTGTACAGTCTCTACTTTCTGCTTGTATCATAGACATATGACCATACCTTGCCCATGCACACAAATAAAGAAAACAAAAGTCTAAATGGTATTGCAATCTTTGGGCTGAGCAGGCCCATTATCAAAGCAGTGACTAATGATAGTTTTTGAAAATAATACCACTAAGGATTACTGCAGGGGAGACCCTGTAGTGGGCAAACAGTGCTTTTTATATGCTCACCCTCAACCATACCATACATACCGTAACAAAAGAAAATATAGATCACATGTGGGCAAACACACATGTTCCTCGCTACAGCTGCTGTGACTATAAAATTACATCATTTATATCAAAAGCACTTTTGCCACACATGCAAAACAACTAGTTTCCTGAATTTCTTCTCTTTGAGTAGTGCATCTTCAAGGCCACGGTGTATCAACAACGATGTACTTTTCACACATCACATAGCTCTGCAGTTCTGGGAATTTTAAAAAAAAAAAAAAAAAAAAAAAAAGACAAGATTGTTCAGGAAGAGCACCAACATTTTGTGCTGCCTACCCACGTTACAGCTTAAAAAAATGACTTCTTTTTATTTCAAACTTTGAAAGCATGCTCAGCACTCAAATAATGGAAAAGAGTGGTACTAACAAGTGATGTTTCAACCTCTCCACAACAGAAAAGTGGACACTGTCTTGGAGCTCCGACTCATGAATTGGAATAAGCTGTAGCAGCTCCCAGCTTTAGCTGTCTGACCTGTCCTGTCTTTACTTCTAATGCTGGTTTACTTTCACATGCCATTTTGTAAGCTAGTGTGCTTCAGCGTCTGACTCATTCCCCCTTCAGTGTGTGTGTGAACTTTCAAGGGAAGGTTAAGGTAGAAAGCAGGTACAGGTCAAAAGGTTCCTGCCTCCAGCTTGTGTGTCAGAGCCCTTGCCTTCTATCTGTAAAACCTTCTGTTATTTTTAGGAGCCATCTTTCAGGGCAGAAAAAGCAGACAGACTTCTAACCCTACCCTGGAAGTCAAAATAAAATGGATAATTAGCAATTTCTGTGCTTTTGGAAGCTCTACCTCAGCACTAGAATAGGAGGGAGGTTTTTGTAAGCACACATGAGACCAAAGAAGAAACAGTCAACTTATTTAAAATTGGACCTCCAAGCAAAACTCTACCTTGTTCTTCACCAGTATGTGGTAATGGTATTGATCCCATCCTTATCTCCCCCCCTTTATTTACAGGATCTGGTAGATCTTTAAACATCAAGCATAACCAAAGGGCAGAAACCACAGTGCACCTTTAGATCCTAAAGTTCAAAATTCAGGTTTGTCAAAAATAAGTTGAAGTTATTTAAGCAGTTCGTAAATTTTATTAAGATGTGTTTCACTTCTGTTCATTTTTAAACACTACAATCTAACCCTGAAAAATAATACATTGAGTGAAATCTGATTGGAATACAAACAATCTAACAAAATCCAGAGAATTTAAATAAACATCTGAAGGGGGGGAGGGGGAGAGAAAGTCTACTTCTAAACCACTTTCCTGTGAACTTCTATGGGACATCTCAAATTAAGTATGTAGAGAAGGCTTGGTCATATTAACAATAACAAAAAAAACCACCTCAAAAACCAAATACAACAACCCACCACCAAGGAACAGTCCATGCATCTTAAATACTATATAAGCATAAAGGAAGCATACAAACTATTTGACTTCCCACATTTGATCAGAAACATGCTATTTAATAGTTCTCTCTGACTCATCCTCTTCACTGTTTAGAAATACACATTCTTCCCCTACGTATGATACAGAAAACATGTATTCTTTCTTTGCAGTGAAATATAATTTGAATAAGAACAGCACCTGCACTGAAACCTGTCCTCCAAGTTTCACCATATTAACACTGGGTAACCCTAAACATTAAAATCCCCAAATACATGTTAATTAAAATAAGTATCTTGAGACATATTTGGACTTACCGTCATTCTAACATCACTCCTTTTGCATCTTTAAAAGCCAAGCAAATGGATTAGTAATGAGCCAAACGGCAAGAAATGCTTCATAATTAATATTCAGATTAATTCTAAAATTTGGGTTAGAACTTGCTACTACTTGGCATGCCAATCAGTGAACAGAATAGCAAAAAAAAAAAAAAAAAAATTTTTAGTCATCCCTTTCTCACCGTAAATTTTCCCCATCTTAAGTGCTATCAGAGTTTCCCCAACCCAAAGAAATATCAAAAGAATAGTGTGACAAGAATAGATTATAAGTATTCCACCAAGATAAATGCTCATGAAGAAGAATTAACATCAACTTTCAAGACCTGTCCCTCTTTTCCTCTTAAAAGTTGGACTTCTTGCAAAAAGATAGAGGGTGGATATAATATCCTGAGACACTAGATTTGTCCTAAAACAGTCAAACAATGCCACTGGCTAGCAAGCACAGTAGCGTAGAACAAGGGGTCTGGAGCTGCAGGCATAATTTCATCCAGAGATCAAACTCTTACTGGCTCAGAGCCACGTAAGTTGACATACCGATCTGCCATCTCAGTGCCGTTGTATTGAGAACTACAATTATTTTTTGACCTTTTTCCATAATTAACCCCTTAATTAGAAGATAAGCCTTGAATATCACCTACCATTTAGTGGTTCTTCTACAGCTTTCTGCAAAACATTTAAAAATATATATATGTATAAAAAGCCTTCATGTTTACTTTTGGCTCGCCACAGTTAAATTACTCTAATTGACATATACAGTAAGTAGTGATTCTACAGAAATGAAGAAAGCTGAACGTTAATAAAATTAATTACTAGAGTTCTCAAAAAAATTAAATCAATCAATAACTGCCTTCTCCAGATTATTTTTTCCCCACTGTAAATTTTTCCTCAGATGAAATACCTCTAGGTGGCAGCAAAAGGCATGCAGATACTATTTTTAAGCTCTAAACCCTAACTGATTATTTCTGTGACGTGATCAGTAGTTAGTAATAAAGCAGCATGACTTAAAAAAAAATAGTAGCCAAGCAATCAAGAGTAATCTCAAAAGGAAATACACCACAGTTGTGCATTTAGTCTGGTAGACAATCATCAGAAACAACACACACAATCTACAGAAACGTTAGAAAAATCAGTAATTGGTTAAGATGGCAGATTTCAAAATACGCACCTTTTCCCCCTCAAGAAAATATCAAGCATCATTTTGTGTGCCCCAGTGTCAAAATTAAGCACTTCCCCAACATTAAATTTTCCATAGTCTTTAGATTACACAGAATCAAAGCGTATTTTCAAAATTACTTCACACCTATTTATTGCCTCAAAGTACAGCAATATATGCCGAACAGCCCTTGATGGAAACAGTTAACACACTTAATTGCCCACTAGATCTTTCTGTAACTTCCATAAGTTCATGGGCACAAATTATCATCTGAATTCCTCTGTATCTGACCCTCCACTAACTGCAGCTGCAAACCCCCTATTTTTAGTGGCTGAGATTTCCAATGACCTCTAAATTTTAAAAATTTCTTTTGATTTCATTCTTGTCTCCAATTCGGAGAGTAACATGGTGTTCACTTACTACAGAATTGTGGCTATTTCTTTATTTGTCAAATCCTTACTGCAGTGTAAAACCACCTGGTAAAGAGAACAGCTCATAAAGAGAACGGAGTTCCACAAAGGATGTTATTTAGCATGTTGGTTTCTATTTCAAAGCTTATTTACAACCAAAAACAAAGTTTAAAAAAAAAATCTCCTCTTGCCCTGTTTGTTTCCATTCTACAAGTAAACATGAGCACATTAGATAAAGGCAAGATTGTGTTTTAAAAGAACCGTATCTGTAATACACTTAGCTCATTTTTATAATATAATGAACTTTGTGAGTTTCCTCTTTCTCTTTTTCTGTTTTTTTTGTTTTGTTTTGTTTTGTTTTTTTTAAAACTCCGTGCACTTATATTTCTTCCATAAGTAAGAGACCAATTCTCTGAAGTACTATTCCTTAAAATTAGAATGGATGAGAAAAAGCAAAGGGAAAAAAAAAAAAAAAAAATCTCTGTTGTCCTAACTGCAGTCAGCTCTCCTGCCCCACTGTTAGAAACCATCTTTCTTCAACAGCTAGGTCTCAGGCTGTAGACTGAAGAGGAGACCTGGAAATGTGTCTCAAATGATGGCTGCCAGCCAAGAAATGGGATGACTTAGGACTTAGGATTTGCCATGCTCCCCTGCTACAAGGAAATTTTACTGGTATTTTACAGTTGTGCCTCTTTACTTGCTTCTGCAAAACTCCAGAAATCAGGCAGTTCACATTCATGGATCCCTAGAAAGCACTGTGTAAGTATATGAAAATTACTGGTTTAGGAATGATTACTCTAGAATTCAAAAAAACTGACTGAAAAACCTTCTTTAAAAAAACAAAGTGCTTTTCCATTTGTTCTGTGTGACCTAAAGACAGACACTCTGCTTTCAGATGGTCTCATCAAATTAAGGGGCATTATAGGAAAGTAAGAAAAGAAAAAAATATCAAGGCTATAGCACCTGTATACGGGGAATTCAAGAGAATATTAAAGGGTTCCAGTGTAAAAGACTAAAGGAAAAAAAACCCTAAGTCTTTGTTATAAGCCACCTAGATAAAAAAATTCAACAGTATTCTGCACTCACCTTAATAAAAAAGCACTTTCATTAAGGCGAGCAAAAGGTCTTTATAAATTCATGTGAGAGAGTGCATTGTAAAAGAACACCAAACTTCCCTTCACATCCACCACCTTTTTGTGACAACTCTTGAAACTCCATTTGGGCAAAACAGTCGGAGTAGCTGTTAGGTAAGGGTGGCAATTACAGTACTATAGACACACTCAATAGGGACAATGAAGACCACCAACTCACTCAACATTAGACATCTGTTACACAGCCAGAACTTTTGCTTGCTACCAACCTGGTCTGAATTCGAACTAGTGAAGAAAGGTTCAGTATCTCACTACAATCCCCTGAGCCATCTAGTCACCCCAAATTTATTAATTTTAAGCTTACCCCTGGACGAGGATGATCTTTCACTCTGGAACCTGAAATAATTACAAAAAAATGACCAGGCAGATGAATAAATGTCATAATTAACCAAATAAAAGTATCTACTGATAAAACTTTGAACAGAGTAGCAACACACAAAACTGAAGCTTCCCCTATCAAAAACTACTTAATATGATGATCTGCAATTTCTTAAAGCCTCTAAGCACTCCTCTGTTTAGGAACTGAATAATCTTATCATGTACAGTCTGTGAATTGTCCCACTCATGCATTCAGCTCTAAAAATGAATTATGCTACACACTATTCTTTGTGCTTATTTTGGAGTGCTGGAATCTACCCCAACAGTCACATTTGACTTCTTCAGCTAGCATAATCAAACTACAAATGCAGTATTTATGCAGACCATTAGCACACAGCATCAGTGTCATATATATGAGTAGACCAAAGTCAATAAATATTACTTCTATCATTGTTAAAAGGCTTGCTTTATCTCTGTCACTTTTTTGACTCATCTTCATCTATCTCAGTTATCAAATATTAGGCATTCTGCCTTAAGTTCTTCTTCAATAGCAATCCTCCCTGTCTCAGGGTCTATTATTTCTGACCATGCCCACACATGGTATGCATGTACTAAAACTGGAAGACTGCATAGTTCAGTGCAGACTAGGGACTGCACTGACTGTGTACACATCAGCTTGAATTTGGAAGCAATATATCCTCAATTGCACAGTTCTACATCCAAACAAACAAGCTGTTTGAAGAGCCTTCATGCACAGCTAGAAACAAAGTCACTCTGCTCTCAGACCCAAGCTGTAAAGTCCACACAGTGTTATGCTGTGGTGTGCCAGCTTAGAGATGTCTGCACCACATTCCAATCACACAGCATTGCTGTGTTTTTTGCTTATTTAGCAGGCCTGACCGGCTTTTATACCTTTGAATCTCTCACCTTTTTGAGATCCGGTGAACAGACCAGTTTCTGAAACAAAGTATTGCTATTCTTGGCTCCTGGCTTTTAAAATTAAGCATAAGAAAAAATAGGATTCACTAAAATTAAAGGTGTGCATTCAAATCGCTCTTATTTGAACCCACCTCTAACCAGTGGAAATCACTAGGCAGATTTTGCTTCTTTACATTCATATTCTGATAAGCTTGTGTCTGCACCATCCCATAATGCACTTTATAGAATCCCTGAAATCCTTTTGCTCTCTTCGTTCTAAACTTCAACTAGCCAACTGTGTAAATGCAGAGTTTAAACAGCAACATCTATCCTACAGTTGAAACACTCTTACTTAAGAAACCTGTTCATGTTGATCTCAAAACAGCTTATTATGATAAACCGTAAATTTCTCTACTCAGGATTCCCCACAGTCTCTATGAAACAAAGCCAACATACACAGACAATTGTTCAGTAATCTTAAACTATGTAATTGTGAAATCACACCTTATGTTCAAATCAGCTATGTCTACCCCTGAAAAGTACAATAGAGAAAATTGCCCTTCTGAATATTTAAGTGCCAAAAAACCACAATGCAGAATATTAGGCGCTACTTACCCATAATAAACACGTAAGCCAGACTAAGCAAATTAGCAATAGCCATAATAGCTAAGCCAGCAATCACAACAGACCCATGTAATGGAGGACAGGCTGTTAAAAACACAATACAAGAAACTGAATCATCTGACACAAGCAAAAGCACAAACTTTTATTTTCAGATATAACTGAATACTAAAATAAATAAGCCTGATAAAAACAGATGTGATTAATTTCTCTTTCAAAGCTATCCCAGAACTACTTCCGCATCTTTTTTCCCTGTATACATTCTTTAATAATACAGAGGCATTTACTGATTTATCCTGCTTAGCTGTACTGTTCTACTACAGTTTAGCTATTCTACTGTCATTCACTGCAATTGACAACATTCTTTCATTAATTGTATTTTAAATTTAAACATACATCTTCAATCCCAATTGTTTTGAACTATAATTGCATTACATTACAGAATACAATACCGCTACTGATAAAACAGGGTAAAAAAAGGGAAGAAGGGAACAAAATATGAGGGTAGTTCTGAGGCAAATCCACCACAGATAACAGGAATGATCCACGTTTACAGGGATATCAGAGAGCAGGAACAGGCTATTACAACCTAACCATAGTTCACTACAGAAACTCCTTGTTCTCTGATCCTTGTTTCTGGGGGCTTGAAGTCATTGCAACTATCTGTGAGCTCAACCTAGGATAAGCTATTTCTACTGACACGTAAGGGTCATTGAGCTCAACTTCCAGAGATACAGGTAACATCTTCCTTACATGACCTGTGAAAAGGTCACCCTGAAAAACTAGGGAGACTTTCCATTTGAGACCATAATAAAAACATCCTCCATTTTGTATTACTCTAGAGGATTAATGCTTTACCAGAAACCTCCCATCAGTTTATTTTACTATTACATTTGACAACACTTAGGTGCCCCTTACAAATACTTCTGTAAATACTAAACAATAAGCATAAAACTCAAATCACAACTCCACTGAAAGGTCTATCATTTCACCCAGATTAGACAAGCCTTTAGAAACCACTTCAAGGAGAAACAGTTTTTCTTAAATCCCCAACCAAATAAATGATTAAAATGAAGAATGTCCCGATGAAACAATAAATCAGGGGTATAAAGTGCTTCCAATGAACACGAGTATGTATTCTACTACTAAATATACTGCCAAGAATGCCTAGTCCTAAATTCACCCCTTTTCTTTGCTGTGGGGTTTTCTGGTGGGCAGAGGGGAAGGCAGGCTGGGGACAAAGAGAGGGTTAGAGGCAGGGATAAGGGGTACCACTGTGTGCGGTGTTTTGTTGGTGTTCCTTTACAACAGCGACTACTTTTCGGTGCTGAAACAGAATGCCAGCCACCACCAGACTTAAAACAGTCCAAGAACACTTCCAAGTTTACTGTCTCTGCATTTGCCTTCTTAGGCTGTTTCAGTGGTATTTGTTTCCCAGCGACTGTTATCAATCGCATACAAGTAGAGATTAACAAGGAATTTCGGATTTATTCATTGAACATGAGAAAATTATTATGACTCTAGTTTAGTTTCTGAACACCCTAGGCCTCAGTAAGAATAACAGTAATAAAGGTCAATGTTGGTTTTAGATGGCTCTTTAGGGCGCTAACTGTTGCAAAATTAAAACAATTAACTTTTTTTTGTTTTTTTAAAAGCAACTGCTCATAGAATGCAGTCATGCTGGATATAGGCATACTAATGAAACTGATTTATGTAATACTGCCTTTGGGCCATTCTTCTTTCACTAGATAAAAGAGCATTAACACAGTAGTCCTAAAGTACATTTACAGTAGTTACTTGCTAACACTCAATGTAGTGAAGCCATTTTTACAGCATTTTAGTGTTACAAATAAACAAACATCAGGTATAAACAAAAGTAAAAAGAGACTTTTACAGAAGATAAATTGCTTACCTGAGACACACAGTGCAAAACCAACCACAGCAATTATATAACCAAGAATTTGCAAACCTATCAGAGCAAATGTTGCTTGTGGTAGACTATCAAAAACTGGGAAAGACAGAAGGAGAAACACAATTGTAATTTTAAAGTTTAACTACAGAGACACAAAAGGTAGATCATTCACATGAAGCTAGAAATCAGATTCTCCTAAATTCCAAGCTCAGCCAGCCAGCGTGATAACAAAACTCACAAGTCACTGCAAGTCATTCAGGGCTCCTGTATGTATACACACACACATATATAAAAATTTATGTATATATAAATAAAATTATAAATAAACTACAAGTGGAAAAAATGAAACCCATACATTCTGCAAGTTAGTTAATCATCCCAGTCCCAAGATGCAGGTTTTTGAATGACTCAGATGTCCTACCCTAAATCTCATTTTTCAAGCAGGTAACTTATACTTCTTCCCTGAAGCAACTTAGCCAAACACACACAGGTTAAACGTTTTGAGACACTAGAAAGGTCAGGAATCCAGGACGCTATCGTAGCACCTATTTATAAAAATGAAAATAGTATGCAGATTATGGGGGGGACGGGGAGAGTGCTCCATTTTTCTATCAGTATGTTCTTGAGCTAGTGAATAAATAAAATACTCACCAATTCCAAACATAAAGTATTGAAGCGGTACCAAAATCACAGCAGGGACTACAATTAGGCCAAGACCAGCTTGATTCTGTGCAGCATAGCCATCTGCAAACATTTGTTTGGAAATTAGTAAAACAGAAATCCTTGATTGGGATAAAGCACAAAGCAACAAAAGTAAATCATTAGTATCATCAAGTTTTTAGGGTCCACAAAAAATCCCACTGAAGCACCAGAAGTCACTCCCTAGCTCCTAATATTCACCCAAGGTAGGACAGAAAATAGAAATAAATTTGGAGTCTGTATCTCCCTATGATCATCTGAGGGACTGACAACCTCAATGCTGTTTCTGTTATATTCTGTATTTTTTTTTTCCATTTTAAAATTAGTAGATGGCAATTAATAGGTGGTACTAACTTCCATACTACTGCATGGAGGAGATTCATTTGTGCTCTTATTCCCTTAAACTAGGAAGACAATTTTAATACACTTACCTTGGACAAAAAGAACAGTGCCTACAACAGCAGCAGCTGTGAAGATGATACCTCCTACAATAAAGCCCAGTTTCTTCTGAGGTACAATTTCGTATTTTAATGCTTAAAGACAAGACAAAGAGAGACAGAGAGGAAAACAATCAGACATAGAGATTCTCTCACTAAAATACACAGATTTTGTGATTAGGACTGTTGTCCTCAACAAAGAAACAAACTCCTAAAAAATTAGAACTATATATATTACCAAGATTTAATTTGTTTTCATTGTTTGATATGGTTAATATGGCTTACTCAGATAAATGAAACCTGGCATTGGTGTTCTACTCAAATTCTTAATTCCACCTTCTATACAATTCAGGCAGTATGTTATCAAAATAACTTTGGGACATGGTACAGGTTAATTCAAGTAGATGCAGTACTGGCATTTAAATAATGTTACAGTGAATTTGTTACTCAGGTGAGTGTCAGACAGGGATTTAGAAATTCCAGATTTAATGCTCTTCCCCGTGACACTGTGTGAGCTCAGACGTATCACATCCATCCCTTAGGGAACCGGATGATGTTCCCATCTCACCAGAATGCTTTGAGGACGAGTAGATATGGGATGACCTACATGTTCAGATGTCATAGACAAGACTAATTTTCAGTAAAATTGCCCTGCTAAATAGCTGCCAACTCAGAAGCGGTTGATTCCAGTGGAGGGTTTCAAAGCAGCAGCACTTTAGTAGTCTTCGGAAAAGAAGGAACAGTACAAATACAACATCATAATAAGCCATGTTTGTTTCTGCCTTATACACTGCTAAAACTAAGACACAAAAAAAGGCAGCTTTTACTTCAAGCTTGAAAATTAATACACCAACAACCCTGGTATATGTTGAAATTGGTAATCACAAATTGACCAAGCCTGTTAAGTAACAGTGCTTATTAGGAACTACCTTGACAAATGTATGAGTTAACTCTCTCATGGTGTTAGCCGATTCATACCAGAAGAAAGCCCAGCAATAAACATAACACAGTGTGGATGATCAGGAGAGGATTCCAGAGCAAACCAAACACCAAGTTGTTTGACAAAGCAGACGTACCACCCCTCTGTGTATTATCTGGATCAATTCTACCAGACATCTTTTAGAGTAAGCACTGTCTTTCATCTTACACAGATGCCTTTATGCAAGCAAGTGATTTTACGACAAACCAATAATTGCAAAGAATTAAAGAGTCAATACTTACCAATAACACTTAACTGAGCCGAACACAAAATAATAACTAAGAACAGCAACGCTATGATGATTGCCCTTTCCACTAGAAGAAACCATGATCCTAGAGAATAAACAAAGAAAAATGGTAGGAAGAAAACAAAAACCGAGGTTATTAGCTTTACATTTATTGCTCCTTTTAGGCTATGCTCTAGATTGCTCAATACTGTACGTAACAGTTAGCATTAAGAGTTATAATAGGCTAGGAAAGCTACGACTTCTACCTATGTATTTTCCACTCTGATCTTGTGTGTGATAACCTATTTTTTTCAGTATTTCTAGTTACCCTAACATTTTCCAAACTGGAGGTCTTAACCTCCACTGCAGCAGAGCATATGTTTATGCTATTGTCTGGCAGTACAAGCTAGTTAGCTTGTGGAACTACAAACAGCACAGTAGATCAGAAAAATGGTGCATTTAAGCTAAGCAGGGAAGCTGGGCAAGATATGAAAAGTCCAATTTGATGCTTCCCCAGCTATTCTATCCTACCTCCAACTGCTGTAATTCCTGAAGAAACCCAGATGTGTGATAAGGAATACAGGAGCTAACCTAACTGAGAAGGAAACACTGCTTTGTTAATTTTAGAAATCACACACCTTCCTTTAGGTCTTCCCACCATCATCCATTTAGCTTTTTTTCTCCTGCATCTTGGATGCCTTAGGCTGTTCAGTCACTCGTAAGACCATGTAAGTCACCTTCCAACATAAAATTCTGAAAATATGTCCACTGAACTAGAAAACGCAGTTTATTCTTGCATCTCTGCTCATAACTTCATTTAGACTCAGTGGAATCCAAAGTCTCCGTTTCTTACATTATACTTGCCACTGTTCCTCTGCCTGCACTCTTGCTTCCACGGAAATTTCTAATCTTCATCTAGATGCATATTCCTTGCACTTACTCTCCATATTTAAAAGCTGTATCTGCAGCTCCAGAAACATGGAATTAAGTAGCAATACCTCAGAACTTTCAATGCCAAGTAAATACCTTGAAGACAGTTTTAAATTCACAAATTCCCCTCTTCTCCCCCTGCAAGGGGTCACAGAAGAAGATACTGTGGTTACAACTTGAATGAATACACGGCAATCATAAAATATACTAAAGGCAGAGAAATGGAGGAATATCTGCCAACTTCCTTACTGCCAAAAGAAGCTAATTTAATCAATTGTTTAAAGGAAGGCTTTTTGCTTCATTTGCATTTTCAAAAAAGCAACTAATATTGAACAGTAACTTCAATGCACAGTTGCAATTCTCTAGATAAGCCAAATCCTACAGGCAAATCCCAGCAATGCTGTCCATTGTAACTGAGAATTATTAATGAACTGAAAGTATCTGCAAGCAGAGACTCTAAAGCAGCTTCACTTCCTCCGTAGTGTTTCCAGATTACACTACCAGGTATTACAAATGGAAAAAAGCAGCGATGAAGCCTGGTATCTGCTAGGACTTCAGCATTCAACATGGAACCACATATGGTCCAGTCTTAGAGTCTAAAAGCAGTTATTGTATGGAAATGCTTGCAATACTACTGGTATATACAACATGCAAATAAGAGAAACAGCGGAACACCTTTTCCTGGTAATACATTTCCCTTACTCTGGTGCTTCATAGCAATAAAATAAACTCCTGGCGAAAAGTAGTATTTTGAAAGCCAATATAAGGAAGTCAGTTCCAAACTAATGAGAGAAGAGAAAGAGGCAAGGAGAAAAGAAAGAGGCAGGGAGAAAAGAGGAAACTTGACGGTCACTCTCTTGTGAAGATTTTTTTGTGCCCAAAGACAAGGGCACTAGCATTAAGTCTTGCTCACTCTGCTACCCACTTCCTAGGTGAATCCAGGAATTCTGTAAAGTGAGATGGAGAATAGTTGGCTCTTACAAGACTATCTTTGTAAATGCATCAATTGGAACATATTAGTAGTGACAGCATGAATTCATTGCTCAGAAATGACAGAGCGAAGACTGGTGCAGGATTTCTATTATTCACTAACCCTCTTCAAAATTCACTTGCTACACTTTCTTCTATTAGCTTATTATCTCAAGAGTATCTCTAGAACACTGAGGAACAAACAAAAACAAATTATGCAGAAGAATTTAAAGAGAGAACCAGCGACTGTTTTACCTTCAGCTAAACCCTCAAACATAAGACTAAGTTTTACATTTTCTAGCATATACTCTCAAACCTAATACGACCTCGCAACTATAAGTTCTTCACCAACCACATTTTTCCTTTGGTGTTGGGGTATTTTCCTCGCCGCAACTGACAACTAGAAAATGAAATTAGAAAAATTACATCAGTTTCCTGCTTTGTAGTCTTTATGCTGCTTTCAGAATTCTAAACACAGAGAAAGTAAAAATAAAACAGTAAAACTTGCAAATAGGACTTGATTCTACTGCATCCTCAAGCCTTGTTTCCTATTCTAGTGCTTAACACTGAATGGCAAAAACAGTCCAAAAAGGTTGAGTGAGGATGAAGTCATAAGAGAAGGAAGGAAACTGCCTATACCTCTTCCCCTGTTTTTGCAGTGTTTTAAGAACTGAATGATTTTGTAGCATTCTCATTCTTTCAGTGGCTGTGCCCCTCTCAATCCATTTCAGGATCACATTTGTTTTGCAGTGTATATAGTTAACTCAATAATTAGACCCAACTGTGAATTACACAGATGTCTGCAGCAGGACACAAGTACATCTTTTTGAGCTTCACAAATATTTTAATGACAAATGCAAAAACTAATAGCAAAAACGTCCTAGGACAATTCTACAATGCACGGGTAAGACTCCATGTACTACGCATATGTAAAATATTCAGTGCTTCTGAGCAGCTTTCCAGAAGCAAGAAGCAAGTCTCCCGTACAGAACAGATAAACAATACACACATATGTTCAGTGAAACTGTCACTTCCACAGAATACTAGACAGACTGCACATGTACAGCAGATCCCATTATTCAATAGCTGGGGCGCTAGAGCACGTGGGCTGCGTCTGACACGATAACGTAAAATGGCTCACTAAATGAGAAATTCATCACTTAGTCACCATTATTCTCGCTTACATTGTCTTCTGAAGATGACACTTAATGCTAGACAACCGTAACAAGTCACCATCTAGTAGTAGCATTTTCAACCTGGAAAACTGCCTATCTTCAGATCAAGTTTTAGAGCTCTTGTACAGAATTTCTATTAGCTCTATCTGTAATTTTTCCAGCATAGCTAAAGATTGCAAGATGCAATTCTTCAAAGAAAAGATCTCTGCAGCCACTGTGATGGATGTATACATCTCAGTACTACGAAGATACTAGGAATATGTTTCAGTATGTAAAGCAATAACATGAGCGTGCTGAAAGTATCACCAACTACATAATCTAACAGATGTGGGAAAGCATAGATTTTACTGTATTAGACAAGTGATCTTCAGACATTATTATAGAATGAAAAAATGTGTTCAGATCTTTCCCACAGAAGCACTCCCCTATAACTTAATCCAAAATAACTCATATTAGCATTCAAGTTAGAAGGCCTGGGTGCTACATTTTTTGTATTTTCAATTTAAAGTAATACACTGTCATATTCACTATTTTTCTCTTTCCCGTACGATTTTGCTTGTTTTCTCTCAGAAAAACAGATTCTAAAACAATGGCAGGCAACTCACCTGAGTGGTTTCTAAGTTCAATTCTTGTTTCTCCATCTCTGATTGATTCTGTTACTTCACAACTGTAATTTCCAACATCTGCTTCTGCACTGTTAAGCGTTAGAGAGGCAATACCCTTGGGTAAATCTGCCTGAGATACTAAGTTAGCTGATGGAACCGCTGGATCTCTGAAAAACTCCTGTCTTGCGCCATCAAAAGAAAAAATTATTTTTCCTTGTTTTTTCCATGTAACAAACATGACATTTGCATTGTTCTCCTTTAGATTAGTCACATAGCAAGGTAAAATGACAGTTTTATTACAGTCAGTTCTTTCAACAACATCTGTCGCACTAAGTATCAACCGGGCAGAACCTATAAAGAAAAATGAAAATTGACACATTCAGAATTGTTTCTTAATATACAAGAGAAGAAAGAAAAAAGAATTACAACACGTGACTTGGGAAAACAAAACAAACTCTCCCACGAAACCACAAGAAGATAACTATGCTTTAAGGGAGTAGCAAAAGAAGGAAAAAAGGCATTATTATAATTCTACCACAGCCCCTCTACACAGACTTAGCCATTCTCACATCCATTTAATGTATAGATAACATAACCTATCATAGATTAAAGAAAAAAAGTAATAAAACTTTGGGCTGCCACTTACTTGTACACTTCCCCTAAAATGCCACATGCAGAAATACTGCATTAAGGCTTGGTTACTGCAAAGCATACACATAACATTAATTGCAGCTTGTCCCACTGATGTTCAAAATTTTGCTGCTGATCACACAGGTATCTAAAAACGGAGGTCCAGGCATCAGCTCCACACAAGCATCCTTTACAGTTTGTTAAGGACAGGGGGAAAAAAATTCTACTTTTACGCTTCTGAGAGAAGGCAGGCAAGGCAGCTTAGTCAACCAAGGTTTGTCATTTGTTCCTTCTTATCTCTGAGGGTGGAGCCAAATGCCCAGAGATTTAGATCGTTTCTTGCAAATTCTCTCTCTTTTCCTTTCCGATGGAGGAGGTGCACACAAAATACCATATATTAAACAAGATTATTACTTACTTAGTAGTTGAGTGTATACACAATAGTATTGAAAATGGAGAATTTGGAACAACAAATGTCCTGTATTATAAAACGTTGTGATTAACACTACTAACAATAGCATACAATGCAGGTAATGAAAAATCACCACCACACAGGATTATGTTATCACTGCTGTTTTTTATCATTTCTCTCCCACACTGCACCACAGTTCTAAAACAGTACTACTGACTGACCACTGTTTCAAGAAAGACCTAAATCCTATGCCAAGATTTTATCTGAAATGAATACCCATGTTCTTGAAAACACCAAAAATTACAGTATCAGTATTTAAATTACACCAGGAACCAGAAGAAAGAGGTTAATTAAACTAACTTGATTGCAAAATATGAAGGCTTTGAATCCTGTATTTTCTACATTTTTCCTCATTTGCGTGAAATCGCGACTTAGTTTAATAGCTGTCCTAATAGTCATTGCTCCCCAAAGTCCCAGTAGCATTAATTATTCAAAATGCTTGACTATATCCACCTAATAAAAGCAAATATGGGAAAAGATATGTACTGTAGAACAAGACCACAACCCCTAATACGGTAAGCACACAGACTTACAAACTGGAGTAGCTCCCGTGACTTCAGAGGAACTACTGGTATTCACGTGTCTAAACCAGCTCAGAATTGTGATATATAGTTGATAACTAAATTCAATTAGGGGAAGGGGGGAGGGGGGAGAATCAATGAAAGTTGTGTCACTGTTTGCCGTAGCTCAATTTTTCCAAAGCAACAGTCTCAGATCAAATTTAAAAAGCACTGTTCCTTGAAACATTGATTTAATATTCTCACACAAGTCACTGGATTACTACTGAATATCGAGAGCTTATAATACATTGACTAAATATGCATTATGCACGACAGCACTTAACAATGAAGAAAGAATTATTCTCTAGTTTATTCACTGTGTTGCATTTTTTAAACTGTACCTCAAAAAATAGAATAAAAGCAGAACAAAGGGAAACTGTACCCAAATCCCACACCATGCACTAATGAAAAATAAATGCACACAATTAAAAGCTGTAATGCTTCAGTGGTTCTTCCTGAAATAACTTTCACATCTGTTTTATTTTAACACTACCTCACAATAAAAGGCTTCTGAGTGTGGGGTTGTTGGGTTTTGTTTTTTGGTGTTTGGTTTTTTTTTTTGGTTGGTTGGGCTTTTTTTCTCCCTTAGAGCTAGCACATTTACACTTCATAGGAAGAATGTATTCTCTGCTGGCTCCACCATTGGGAATGGTGATTTTCAACTAAACAAAGCAACTATACTTCCAAGTACTTACCAAAGCAAATAAAAACCAATTATCTTGAAGGAATTAAAACATATTGATCACGATTTTCTCACTAGCAGTAGCACAGAATGGCAGGGAGCTATAAATTACTCATTCTACCGGTTTGCTGTTGTGTAGTCTATGAGAGCTGGCATATTTTGCCTGAAGCCAATTAAGAAGTACTCATGTGAACTGCTCCACCAGCAGAGTGCTGGGGAAATAACAAGCAGGCTGCAGACAGGCACCAGCAGAAGCACACAGACAAATATTTGCGGGTTTTGTCCTCCGCAAATCTGACTGCTTCAGTAGAAGGGGTTGTGTGGCTGCTATCTCACTAAAGGGAACCTGACTGGTTACTACAGATGATATTTCCACTATCAACTTCCAACGTTCTTTTTGTGGCATGAGGAAGTCATCAGAACCCTTCGGCAATAGTTCCCAAATCCTGCAGGCAGTGGACTACCAGGTGGGCTCCTAGCCTCAAACTTTCTCATGGATTATCAGCTTAGAGGTGTCACATAAAGGTGACAATTTTAGAGCCTTACACTAAGCAGTCTGGGGGGGCTGCTTCTGAAGAATATGCAGTTGTGAAGCTGCCACAGAAAGGTTGTTTCAAATGACATATGCAGTGCAAATTCGGGAATACTGCACATTATGTCAAAATCGGCTAATCTTGGCAGTTGCACCTATTGGACACCTGCATTTCTGACTAAAAAACATGCTAGGGCACTCAGCATTTAAGCCAGTCTACTGCTAACTCAGGAACCCAGACATGAATTTAGATGCTAGCTTTAAAGACGCAGGTTTAGACGTGCTGCTTACCGACAGAACAACAATCTAGCATTTGCACCTCAGTAAAAGTGGTGTAATTTTTTTAACTCTCCCTCCCCCCACCGAGTTTCTTCTTGGGGCACAGAAAAATAAGAAGTTAGATTGCGAAATGTCATTTACACATCAATGACGCCCAAACTTCTTTTAAGATCAAGAAATGCCGTCAACCCTACAAACGGTACAGCAAACGACCGGTTTGATCATCGTTTTTCTTCAAGAAAGCACACTAAGCCAAGCTGCCCTAATGCTACTAGGCACAAGAAGACGAGGACCTTTGCGCTGGTCACGGCGTCCCTCCTCACCCCCGCAACTTCTGCAAGAAGCAACCCACCCCCAAACCCGGGGAGGATGCGGGAAGCGGTAAGGCGTAGGGCTGGAGCAACCCCCCCGCAACGGATGGCGAGATACAGCTAAGCAGACCGCAGTCCCACACA